CAAATCTTTCACGTTAGCAGACCATGATAAGTACTGTTTTCCCTACAACGACCCACCCGTTTTTGACTTGCTTCCAGTGTCTCGCATATTCGTCACGCAGAGCATCAATGTCTTGAGGATCCACGCTCGCATCGAACCGATCAATGCTTTTTTTATCAGGCCATTCATTCGGTACTGGATACGGAGAACGAGCTCGTGGAAGCGCCACAATGTCACGCATCACAAGAAGATCCTAAATACAAAGCAAAAAATCCGATAAGTAACATTCCAAAACGCGCAAAATAAATGATAAGCTGACAAACGTCTAGAAAACTAGAGTGGATGCCGTGTAGTGTCGCGCTACCATGCCCCAGACAGTCGACATAATCGATGCCCTCTAGCTCTCTTTTTCAAAAGTAATGCTTCGCTTTACAGGTGGTCATACTCTGCGACCGTCGTGCAGTTCGCATCTTGGTTTTCTCTACAGATGCATCACTTGGCACCTTAGCTTTGACATTTCAACAACGTACCATATCGTTAAAGTTGACCTCAAACATTCGACATTATTCTTATTGTAAATAACAAGAGGCTAGTTTCGGAAGATGCACCGTAGCGCAGGTGGCGCTTGAGACAATCATTAACCCTCCACCCCCTCTATGGATCTTCTATCCCTCATGGAATAGCGATTTGCCGTTGCAAAAACTTCACTTTTGCGATCGTAGCGTTCGTTATTTCCTATATCACCCCCATAATAATCTTGTATAAAATTATAATGCGTACTCGCTTTGCACGGAAGAATCATTTATATGCGAGAGCGAAAGCTGTTAGTAATCCTAAAATAAGGCGGCTTGGGATGAAATGTACTCATGGAAATAAGAGCTGACGGTCACGGTATCGGTACCGCCTTTCACTTGCCAACGGTGTGTGTTTGAGGTGCATGAGGCGCGACTTGGTGTCACATCACGCCCTTGATAAGGCGCTTTCTGCCACGAAAGCGCCTCTATCACTTAATTGGAATCTGATTACCCTCCACTACTCGAATTTCCCCTTTCATTACCATCAGCTTTATCGCGAGTTCGGTCTTGCAAACCCAATATGGATAAGTGACGAGGTAAACATAGCAAATTTCAGCATGAACTATTACAGACTATCAGGAGGAAAAAAGTATTAAGGGACATTTTCTCGTTCCAAAACAGCTCTGACAACTTGCTCCTACCAAGGATGTGTCGCCTGGTGGAGGTGCGGGTTGCTGTGGTTCGCATGGTTCGCTGGCTTTGCCGCGCATCCACGCTCTGCATAGCTGATACATTGAATCTGTATGACCATCGCGTAGACCGAAGGGTTTGCCACGTAACTCGAACACAACTTCTGGAAATGTGCAACTCACTTAAAAAGAGAAGCAAGTGGATCCAATCTATTCAATCAAGAAAGAATACATTAGATTTAGAGAGGCTAAGTGAAAGAAACCTCAATAGTATTGCAATAATCGAATGATTACCGTCAATCAAAAAAAATTTAGAATACTCCTTTAGTAGGTAAGCGGGACTCACGTTTGTCCTTGTTCTGTACTTTCCTTGGACGGCCTGGTCCTCTTCGCAACTCGCTTGTTTCCGCTCTGGAATAGTCCAATTCTTTTATGTTGCAGTGACACAACTTTTTGCATTTCAAAAGCAAAAGTGTCAATAATAGCATTCCATGAAAGTACTCACGACTGCTTCTTGTCCAGCGGATTCAGCCACGGTGTTTCACCCTGTCGTATGGACGTTAGTAAAGTCCCAAGCCTATCTCGAGCAAACTTCATGTCCGGAGATTCGGGTGGGATAACTGAGTCTTCCGCTATGCGGGCACTGTAATAATTCATCATAACCTTGAAAGGTCAAGCGAGAAGTTAGTAATGGGTTTGGCTCAAAATGTCTCAACGATAAATCGTGTGACTTCCTCCTGTATGTTTCGAATATCAAATGCATTCATAATTGAAAAATTATAAAGACGCACCCGAATCGTTTTGTTGGAGATAAAGGCGTTACAAATTCACTTGATGGCTCGATCTGAACACCCTCACACGGGCCCAACAATGACGTCTCGTCCGGTATGACATAGTCCTTCTACTGTCTGCGGTATTGGTCCCAGATCTGGCTCCATCACTGAAACAATCTCTCTTGTTACTGCTCACATAATGGCATGAGGGTCTTTAGTTCAGAAGGAGACTTTTCCGCTGCGTAGGAACGCCTGGTCCGCTCATGGCCTGGGGCGGTATTCAATCCTTCCCCTAGGGGTTGGGGGACGAAAAACCTTTAAATTTTCTCCGTCTTCCCAACTGGGATTGTCCTGATAAAGGGCCTAGGTTTAATGTATGTATGTATGTCACAGTAAGCATGCATTGAAAATGAAGAAACTACATCGTTAAAAACAAATAAATTTAAAGGGATTTCCGTCCCCCAACCCCTGGGGGAAGGATTGAATACCGCCCCTGGATGTGTGAGATCACACCGGTCATGAGCCGATGGTAAGGCGGGAGAGCGCGGATGAGGGCATCGAGTTGAGGCTGTTTAAAGGACTGAGTTCGAATAGTCCCAGCAACCCAAAGAAATGTATAGTTCATATAGAATGTCTGATAAGGCGTGTCCATGGGTTCAACTGCTTCCAGCATGTTTGCTGATATCCAGCGGAGTATGTTAGAAACAGCTTACCCCCACGGCTTCTATCAAGTGCGTCGACGGCCACGTCAAATCCATAGACACGCCCAATCAGACTTCGAGATATGGGCTGTACGCGCGAGTTGTAACTAAAAAATGAGTCATTCGGCATTAGGCCATCCCTTACGAGTTCACCATGCACTCTACTTCCATTCAGAATCGTAGTGGCTTTCGGTCAATGCAATAAATTGTGGTGACCTGTCGATCAGCAATCATGGAATACTTGGAAGAAGGCTGGGCTCAGCATTATACGAACCCGAATTTGATCTTTGGACTGTGCGCGTGATAAGTAGCTCTACTTGCCATCACACCAACTAAGCGCACCTAACATTTAGAGCCTACAGAGGAAGTCCAGCCTTCGCATTTCCAAAATATGAAAAAATGACTGACGTAATAAACATGACTGAAACAGTCGGGTGCCCACTTAAAAATTACCTGAGGTCGAAGACAAAGAAAAATTGGAGAAATTGCCGGTATTTGAGAAATCTAGTTCTCTAAATGAAAAATTCTTGATGATTCATTTGATTAAATGTTGAACGATTATATTTGCAGCTTCGCTACTACTTAGATAATGACCCTCGTACGGACGGAACCGCATTGACAAATAATAAGCAAGCACTCTTTAAAGTTTATGAAATGATATAGCAATACATTATCCAAACAATCACAAACAACAAAGTACAGCAAACAATGACAGAATTCAAGCAGATCAGTTGGTCAATCTCTCTTTTGGGATACGCTTCCAGCTACGGAATATGCTAAAAATGTTCCAGTGGCTATGGCAGACGAGAAAGCAAAGCGAGCTATGACCATCAGCCAACCACGAATATGGAGTACAGAATACAACATCCTGAAACATTCATCCATAAAGCAAAAGAATGAATGCAAAAACACAAGTCATGACCGCAGTACAATAATTGCGACCGTTTTCTGTGCAAAAATAGGAATAGAAGGACAAAGGATTATGCATTCAGGATTAATCAAGTCCTTTATGGCATTGAAAGGGAAGGATGGCTTGAGAGGAGAAGAACGGATGTGCAAAAGACTCCAAACCGTGAGCAGATAGCGTCTTCACGTGCCATTTCCCCACTTCCCGTTTTAGTACAAATTGGTCTTGGAGAAGTGATGAACCAACAACCAAGAACCAAGGAGGAATCAATCCAGAGGTTACAGCCGTTCCCGAATTTTGCCGTTTCCAGCGAAGTAGCAGTAGAATTTTCGAATCTTATCTGAAAACCTTGGAAGTAAGGCTAAAGAGCGACTCACTGATAAACGAATGTATGGAATACGCAAGCGGTCAGAAGCA